GATGCGGCATAATATTTTGCTTGGAGTGGACAGGATCGTGATTCCGCGACAGTTCTTGTAAAGACTTAGGTCACCCTTCTTTAGAAGTTTGACAAGGTAGCCCTTCTTCCAATCAGTGGTCAGGTACATTTCCTTCCTTCCCTGCAAACCTTCTGCAATAGTGGTGTGGTGTGAGCATGTCCGCTGTTGTCTCTGCACCTGTTTTCAGTGCTTCTGGTGGAATTCCATCTGGTCCTGCTGCTTTCCCGAATTTCAGTAGCTTTATGGCGTTAACGACTTCACTTCTGCTTTTGTCGGAGGGCTTATATTTACTGGTAGTTCTGTGGCTGCATGTGGTATTTCTGGACGAGTTGAATGTGGTGGTGGTGGTGGTGGTGGTGGTGGTCGATTCAAGAGCTTTTCGAAGTGGTCAGCCCATTGTTTCCTTTGTTTCTCTTCTTCGGTAGTTAAATTCCCTTCATCATCTTTTATTGGCTTCATGTGTGTTGATCTCTTCCATCCCAGATAGTAACCTGGTTATTTGATACAATGTTTTCAGTTCTCTCCTACCTACAGCCTGTTCTGCTTCACTTGCCAGTGTTTCGTAGAAGTTTCTTTTGTCTTTGCGTGCACTCTTCTTCACTTTTTTGTTCAGTGTTTTATACATTGTACTCAGTTCCTCTTGTCGTTGAGCGTCCTTGCACTGGTTTATCTTCTGCTTCACCATCCTCCTCTCCTCTCTCAGCTTCCATGTGTCCATTGCGATCCATTCCTTATCTTCTTTCTTCTTCCTTCCTAATATGGTTATGCAGGTTTCCTTCCACATGGCTTTCAGAGAGTTCCAGTACTCATCCACACAGGTTTCTTCAGATATGTTGCTCGATATCTCCTATTTTGTCTTGATGGCTGGCTGCCGTGAAGATTTCCTTTGTAGTTTTGTCCTTCAGTTTCTGTCGTGGGTGTTGAACTTGAACTGCGGTCTATCACCAGCTTCCTTGAAGGCTTTTAACTTGATTTGGAAGGTGGGTTCCTTGCACTAGATAGTGGTCGGAGCCTACATCTGCTCCTCTTCTTGACGTTGTGTCAAGTAGACCGCGTCTCCATTTTCTTGAGATTGAGATGAAGTCGATCTGATTTTTAGTGGTGTGTCCTGGTGTCTGGTGAAATCGATGTCGCTTTGTGGATATCCTTGTGCTTGAACACACTGCCTCACCTCGAATCACGGAATCGTTGAATGCACAGAATTCTGCAAACAATTCTCCATTCTCGTTCATCACCTCACCGAGCTCTTCTCGACCCATGGTTAGTTCTCTTCTTGTGTTGTCTGCTCCGAGTTTGGCATTCATGTTGCCCATTAGAATTTTGATATTGCCAACTGGAGTCATGTCCAGTGTTGATTGCAGTTGTCTGTAGACTTCCTCGTTTTTCTCTTGCTCTGCATAATTTGTAGGTGCATAGCGTGGCGTTGTATGATTGTGACTTTGCTTCCTTCCTTTTGAGTTGAACCTTTCTGTCATGATCCTGCAGGAGGAGATTGGTTCCTACTGCATGAGGGACAGCCTTCGATGCTGTTTGGGACATCATGATAGCCACTTTGAAACTCAGTGTGCTCGTGGTTGTCGTCTTGGTGGCAATATCGGAGTAGATTATTGATTCTCCAGTTGACAGTTTGGAGAGTCCACTTCCATTCCATCTGCTTTCACAGATTCCAAGCACTTCCATGCCATCCATACCTCTTCATCTCGTTTGCAATCTGGACTGCCTTGCTGGGTTCAAACATGGTGCGGAGATTCTATGTCCCCATCCTTACTTGCACTTTCACTTTCATCGAGCGAGAGGAGACACATCGGCCGACTGGCTTCTTGAAGGCTTTCAGCAACCGGCGTCATTTCATCTCTCCGATTCCAGCAAGGAATAAGTTTGTTTTTATTTTTTATAATTTCTTTGTGGCTTGAAGTTTCTTTAGGGATTGGATTTGTTTTACGGGGTATGGTTGCTAGCCCTATGTCCAAGCTTCCCTCTTTACTCGGGGTTAGGACCGGCTAGTAATTAGTGAACTAGTTAACCAAGCGAGGTTGCTTTTTGTTTTAGATAGACCTTTTTGTCATGACAGGACATTTCAATCAGGGTAGCACATTGGGTCACAGTCTTACTTCGTCTATAGCTGAAAAATATCACTCAAATGAGTCCGAAGGGTGGTTTGTTCACATCTGCCGAGCGTATTTACAAATCTTATTGAAACACATACTGTGTTAAAGCTCTAGATATAAGAAAGTTCAGACCTCTTTTACGTATTCAAAAACAGTTTGCTTTGCATTTAACTTTCCTTGGTAGCTCATCATTATTACAAAGGTGGGTAATATGCTATCTTTCTCTGAACTAACAATTTGACCGGATATTATATGAATTATTTTTCAAACCCACTTATCCTTTTTTATATTTTACATGAATATCATGATAATTGTGTGAGCAGATTGTTCGAAATGCATTAGGGTGGAATGCGTCACCTTTCAGACAAACTGTCTTCTAATTGTTTTGTCTAAATTTATAAGGTGAACTGTTTCAGATTAGCAAAGTACCTGATTTTATCTTAGCTGTCCGAAAATGTTGCTCTTACTCTCAGAAATTTCCTAGAGACAGCCTGAAAACGTCTTCAGCCATAAAAATCCAACCTTTGAACACAAATTTTCTACAACTGAAGATTTCCCTACCTTTATGTATTGTTATGGTATTTTTCTTTTTGATGCGTAAGATGTGACACATCTACCTGTCCAACATTCAAACATAGTTTTGGGTTATCTGAAGTTATTGAAACAAGGTAAAACCTTGTTGTAACGTGAGGGGAAAGTATCTTCGCTTGCCGAAAAACAATGTCAAATTCGTTGCCTTGTTCATCTTTGGTTATCATTAACAGAAATTTATCAGACACTATCTACTCCTGAAATAGTATTCTACTTTCTACAAGATATGTAAATACCTTTTTAACTAGGTGTAGTTTGGAGTTTTCTGCAGGTACTATTTGAAAATTAAGACCTATGCAGATCGTAGTAAGGTCGATCATAACATTTAGACTGCAGAAAACACCCAAAACTTCATAGCTGCAAATGTTTCGATGATTTGAAAGTATTATTATACCCCTCAAAATGATGAAAGTATTTTATAAAACGACAACGATTTTAGGGAAGAAGTGGAGATTAAGCGCATATGTGACTTCAAGACTATAAAAACTTATTTCATAGGCAGTTAATCCCCAAAGAAAGGCAAGTCTCGTCACCCAGAAAAGTAATTTTATTACCTTTCAAACAAAAGGTCTAGAATGTGACTAGTTCCATCACCTATGGACACTACTATGAAAGCTATTCTATTCAAAAAATCAGTAGTCTTTTTCGTTAAATGGTTTTGATATAAAAACTTAGTCTTGATATTATGATAATTTCTAAACATAATTGATAATTTGATACAAAAAAAACCAGGACTTCATTGCTCATTCAATGCGAAAGATGGTTTTCTTGAAGTTTCACCATTCTATGGTGGTTCATTCAGACAGTGGCAGATTTTAAAGAAACCGGAACTTTTGTAAACTGGAAGGTACTTGTTACGGTCAAGTACCGAATAAAAGTATTTTCAAGATTCACATGTACAAGTTCAATGACATGCAATGCAGTTCACCTACAAGTTAGAGAATGAACAAGGATAACTAGCTACGTTGGATTGCAAAGTAAAACAAAGAACAGATGTTGGTTTAGACGCCACAATCTACAGCAAAACAAACCCATCCTAATAGGTATGTAGAATTCAGATCAACTTATCCAACGTTAGCTAAAAACGGGTTCAGTGAAGTGTTTAAATAATAGAGCTAGAAAACTCACTACTGAATCGAAGGACCTCAAAAATGAATTTAAACACACCAATGAAATAATATTGATCAACAATTATCCTACAGACTTTTTCAGGAAATTCGTATGAACACAAGAAAATAAGTAGAAATATTATGGGTATTAATAGCAACACAGGTGGAAAGGACCTCAAGGCTTCTCTATTGTGCTACCATATAAGGAAAAAACATCAGAAATTTTGTGTTGATATCTCAATGAGACTGAAATTTAGGTGACATTCAAACCCAAAAAATCACCCAGTTATAATTTTAACGGCTTAAATATTCTACTCATCCAGTGAGTTAAAGTGATTTGATCTGTTGAACACCATTCAGTGACTATGACGTCGAAAACATAGGTCAAATGGGCCGACTGGAGTCAGTTAGATCTTCAGAGCATAAGAATTTGGCCAAATGTGGAATGACAGGCATCAATAAAATCAGTAATCTGGAAAACAGCATCCATTACGATACATGCACTGACACACAACGATTCATTAAAGTGGAGCAAACCAACTGTAATAAAATTCAATAGATTCAAATGGAAAGAGAGAGTGATTATCAAATCTTTGTTCATCTAATCAACATGCAAAAAAAACATGAAGTAGGAATGGAATGTGGAAATTTTATTAATACCACTGTAAACATAGAATACGAAGTGATATAATCCTGAAAAGCAGATATCGAAAGTTGCTTGATTACTTTGACATTATGATGAGTCATTATTTATACTCGAAATGTCATCGAATAAATAATACTATACCACTGTATGCTACATTATTCGATTGACAAATCTACTATTAAAGCCATGCGTATTTTTGTGGAGTTCTACGTTCTGCATGTCGATATAGAGCGCTATTTTTTATTTTTATTCTATACTGTTACTATTCCAGAACGTTAGGTGGTTTCTGATATCTGATAGGATATCATATTTCTAAAAATACTCATATAAGTCTTGATTATTTGGAGTGCCAACCAAAACAAAACTTTGTCTCAAGACTTACCATGGATTAATTCTTGAGAAAAGACAATAAATAAGGTCAGTATCATTTAGAAAATGAACAACTTCCTTGAAATGACACTTGTTTGTAGAGTTGCAAACTTTATTGTTTGCCTATTGATGTTTTATATATTATATGCTTTTTAGGCAAATGCTTCTGGTGAACTACCACTGAGTGGAAACCCAGGCTATCTAATTGGTCATCCGATAGTAGGAGCAAAATTAAATAAAACTGATTTAAAATCTCTTGGATATTCAGGAAGTACTGGTGCTGTGACGACTATGATACCTACTACTAATATCAAGCTTTCTATCGATGGAAAGAAGCGAAAACTAAGTAATGGGGTATGGAGTATTCTTGCTGGTGGTCGGTGTGGAGAAATTTTACAAGATAGAGGTCTTTTAGTAGAACCAATTAGATTTGGTGAAGATGTATTTAGTGGATGCACACTAAGGTGAATTATCTTTTGCTTTGTTTTCTATATTTTTTTAAAAATCAGTATGAAAACTCTGACACTATCATTTGTTTTAGTTACCAAATGATTATTGACTCGTATCGTTGTGATAAGCTGAATTTGTTTGTGTAAACCACTAGTGAGGTCGGCTGCAAGTGAGCGAAACTGCCGTTTGGGGTTTAGAACACTCAGATCTGACTGGCGAAATCTAAAGATCAGCCTTTAATATTATTATTTTTTATTTGTCCCTTGGGTTCCTAATGGAACATAGGGCTTCAGTATCACGTCTCCATTACACTCTGTTCCCTGCAACCGTTGCAACCTGGCTCCACGACAGCTCAGAAGCTTTCATTTCTTCCTCATACCATCTCCTCCATGTCACTCTCGGACGCCCAACTCGTCGCTTCCCATATGGTTCCCACTTGAGTGTCTGGCACGTGATGTCCCCAGTTGGCCTTCTCAGTGTATGCCCAATCCAATCCACCTCCACTTCCTTCTGCATATTTGTTGAGCGATAGCTTCTTGCTTTGTTGGTTCGTTGCCAGCTAGCCAGAGTTCCTTGTTGCTTATTCTTTTTATTCCGGCCACTTGATCTTCAGCATCAAGTGAGCGTAGGCAGCAGGTGTTGATGACGTATATCTGCAGTTTTTTGGAAATGCTTTTCTTGACGCGCCAAGTTTCTGAACCATCATACAGAAGCACTGACTCAACTGAATTAGTGTCGAACATCCGAATATTGTTCACGCTTTATCCTGTAGACAGTAAATCTACACACTGAGTATTTCAGATTAATGAAGGTCTGTCTTGCTGTCTTTCCGATCCTGCCTTTGGCGTCCTCGTCTATGCCCCCCTCTAGTTGAAACAGTGCTGCCGAGATAGGTGAAAGAGGCTACTTCCTTTCAGTTTCTCCCGTTGATGGTGATTGGAGTTTGTTGTTGTTGTTGGTGGTGGTGCGGTGTCGTCATCACCTCCGTCTTCTCCATGTTCACCTGAATGAAGTCCGTCTTCGCTGCTCTGCCTCTTCTGTCAACTTGTTAGTTTTCGCCTGTAGATCTTCAAGTTTGTGTGACATTAGACACAAGTCATCGGCGAAATCCAAATCTTCTTCTGTGGTCTTCTCATCGGTCCAGCTAGCGTATCCCCCTCTTCTCGCTCCCCACCGTTTGCTCCATGACCCAGTCCAGTCGACCACAATCAGGAATATCATAGAGGATAGTAGGCAACCCTGTTTCACTCCCGTCTCCTGTCTTCACTTCAAAAGCATCACTGAGCTTTCCATTGTGAATTATTTGGCATGTGGTGTCTTCATATAGTTGTTGAATGAGGCTGATAAAGGTTTGTGGTATTCCGTAGTATTGAAGCAGTTTCCAAATTACATCTCAGTCGACGCTGTCAAAGGTCTTTTCAAAGTCGATGAAGTTGAGGTAGAGAGTTGACTGGCATTCTATACTCTGTTCAATGATGATGCATAGCGTAGCGTTGCAATTTGGTCGGCACATGATTTGTACTTCCTGAATCCAGCCAGCCTGTTCCGGTCGTAGTTTTGAATCTAGTGCATCCTTTAGTCTCTCCAGGATGATGCGGCATAATATTTTGCTTGGAGTGGACAGGATCGTGATTCCGCGACAGTTCTTGTAAAGACTTAGGTCACCCTTCTTTAGAAGTTTGACAAGGTAGCCCTTCTTCCAATCAGTGGTCAGGTACATTTCCTTCCTTCCCTGCAAACCTTCTGCAATAGTGGTGTGGTGTGAGCATGTCCGCTGTTGTCTCTGCACCTGTTTTCAGTGCTTCTGGTGGAATTCCATCTGGTCCTGCTGCTTTCCCGAATTTCAGTAGCTTTATGGCGTTAACGACTTCACTTCTGCTTTTGTCGGAGGGCTTATATTTACTGGTAGTTCTGTGGCTGCATGTGGTATTTCTGGACGAGTTGAATGTGGTGGTGGTGGTGGTGGTGGTGGTGGTCGATTCAAGAGCTTTTCGAAGTGGTCAGCCCATTGTTTCCTTTGTTTCTCTTCTTCGGTAGTTAAATTCCCTTCATCATCTTTTATTGGCTTCATGTGTGTTGATCTCTTCCATCCCAGATAGTAACCTGGTTATTTGATACAATGTTTTCAGTTCTCTCCTACCTACAGCCTGTTCTGCTTCACTTGCCAGTGTTTCGTAGAAGTTTCTTTTGTCTTTGCGTGCACTCTTCTTCACTTTTTTGTTCAGTGTTTTATACATTGTACTCAGTTCCTCTTGTCGTTGAGCGTCCTTGCACTGGTTTATCTTCTGCTTCACCATCCTCCTCTCCTCTCTCAGCTTCCATGTGTCCATTGCGATCCATTCCTTATCTTCTTTCTTCTTCCTTCCTAATATGGTTATGCAGGTTTCCTTCCACATGGCTTTCAGAGAGTTCCAGTACTCATCCACACAGGTTTCTTCAGATATGTTGCTCGATATCTCCTATTTTGTCTTGATGGCTGGCTGCCGTGAAGATTTCCTTTGTAGTTTTGTCCTTCAGTTTCTGTCGTGGGTGTTGAACTTGAACTGCGGTCTATCACCAGCTTCCTTGAAGGCTTTTAACTTGATTTGGAAGGTGGGTTCCTTGCACTAGATAGTGGTCGGAGCCTACATCTGCTCCTCTTCTTGACGTTGTGTCAAGTAGACCGCGTCTCCATTTTCTTGAGATTGAGATGAAGTCGATCTGATTTTTAGTGGTGTGTCCTGGTGTCTGGTGAAATCGATGTCGCTTTGTGGATATCCTTGTGCTTGAACACACTGCCTCACCTCGAATCACGGAATCGTTGAATGCACAGAATTCTGCAAACAATTCTCCATTCTCGTTCATCACCTCACCGAGCTCTTCTCGACCCATGGTTAGTTCTCTTCTTGTGTTGTCTGCTCCGAGTTTGGCATTCATGTTGCCCATTAGAATTTTGATATTGCCAACTGGAGTCATGTCCAGTGTTGATTGCAGTTGTCTGTAGACTTCCTCGTTTTTCTCTTGCTCTGCATAATTTGTAGGTGCATAGCGTGGCGTTGTATGATTGTGACTTTGCTTCCTTCCTTTTGAGTTGAACCTTTCTGTCATGATCCTGCAGGAGGAGATTGGTTCCTACTGCATGAGGGACAGCCTTCGATGCTGTTTGGGACATCATGATAGCCACTTTGAAACTCAGTGTGCTCGTGGTTGTCGTCTTGGTGGCAATATCGGAGTAGATTATTGATTCTCCAGTTGACAGTTTGGAGAGTCCACTTCCATTCCATCTGCTTTCACAGATTCCAAGCACTTCCATGCCATCCATACCTCTTCATCTCGTTTGCAATCTGGACTGCCTTGCTGGGTTCAAACATGGTGCGGAGATTCTATGTCCCCATCCTTACTTGCACTTTCACTTTCATCGAGCGAGAGGAGACACATCGGCCGACTGGCTTCTTGAAGGCTTTCAGCAACCGGCGTCATTTCATCTCTCCGATTCCAGCAAGGAATAAGTTTGTTTTTATTTTTTATAATTTCTTTGTGGCTTGAAGTTTCTTTAGGGATTGGATTTGTTTTACGGGGTATGGTTGCTAGCCCTATGTCCAAGCTTCCCTCTTTACTCGGGGTTAGGACCGGCTAGTAATTAGTGAACTAGTTAGCCAGGAGGGGTTTAAGATTATCTTTTGTGGTTTCTAAGTGAGCAGTTCTTTCAGTAGTGTATTATATCGTTACTATTATTTAGTGATACTTTGTCCATGACGTAAGTCGTTCGTGAAGTATGGCATACTCAACATGTAAATTTGGGGAAACATTTTCTCTTTTTGCACCACTTTTAGAAAGGAATAATAATTATTGGTCTCAGCAATGGTACGTAAACAATGGCAAAAATGAAGTAACTGTTAATTTCCCATTACGATGCCCTACAGTGATTTCTGTTGCACCGTTATTTATTAATAATAAGATGTGTTTGAAATAGGATTTGACTGAGTTTCCGCTTTTAGCTTTATGAGCATAGTGTCTTAAATACTGGGTTCTTGTTTTCCTTTCGGAGAAACAAGGAGGTAGCTATAAGTGAAGAAGATATTCAACTTCTGATGAAATGAGACTCCAGCCAGTTGCACTCATGAATTCGGCTGTTTATGAACTACCGTGATAAATAGTAAAGTTAGGATTACACCAGTTCCGTACGCTGTTTTCCCAGCAGTGTGAAAAAAAAATTAGAGGAAATGATAAAAAAGAGTGGATAAAATTCAGGAATTGTTATATCACAAGAACAGGAGTCATACCGGGTGCTCACAACCTCCTTATGCACAATGCTAAACGGGAGATTTTTTCTAAGACTTAACAAGGGTTTGAGACAATAGGTAGAGGACCCATGATATTGTTTTGTTTTACTGTTTGTAATAATTCGGAGAGTATATTTTTAGTCCTTAGGGTTCGTGGATCAAATAATTACAAAAGGCGTATTAGTAATTGATAAAAACAAGCTGGTCTTACTTATTTTCTTCATCTTCCAAGTACCGTCAGGATAATGAATCAACCTGAACGGTTACTAAAGTTGCTTCAAAATGATTCAGAATGCTTCCAACTTATCAGTCAAGTTAAGTTTGTGCGCATTTTTCCAAGCTTTCTATTCGTTACAGTTCTCAGCACTACAAGGTACGGATTGATGAAAAGAGAGATGGTATAATGAGTGTTTGGTAAGAATATATTTTGTTCTGCATGCAACTAAAGGTCGACAGGGATATGGTATTTTCAAAAGTTGAAAAACTCATCATTATGCATTCAGTAAGATTTTGAAGTCCTTGAGCGAATAACGAAGGCTTTTAGGGTAACTATGTAGTCTTTCAATTAAAGTTTGAATTATTGAGTGGATGTCACTGATTATAAATCTGCACAATGATAGTTTCTGATAGATCAAGGGAATTATTTCCCATATTATCTTTTCAGACGATTTTCTAATTCTGACCTTTCCATGTGCCCACGTTTCCCCTTAATGACAAAATTATAGACATCAGCAGTAGTGAGAAGATGACCTACTCACTATTTCTTTACTACTTCATGACTTAATGAACCTAATGTCTTTTTCAAATTCTCAAACTCTTATTCTTAAACCCTTGTATACGGGTTCATACAAATAATTTAGAGGTGATAGAAAGTTACTTAAAGCTTATTAATGTAGATATCACAGTTCAATTAAATTGCTTCATTTTCATGTAGTCATACAGATGAACATCTTTATCGTACATACTTTCTACTTTATGCAGGAGAATGTGGTCTAAAACGCAGATAAGTTCATAGACATCACTAAAATAGCCATATCTACCATAATTTCCTTTCATTTTTGTTTAAAAAAAAAATGAAAAAACCCTACCTTTTCCTTATTGGTGCACCGAGGATCATTCGACAGTACCATTTGCCAACAGTTACAAAACACTTGTGAAACGTTCATTCTAGTAGAGTTTACTGCTGGTTAGCATCTCATATTAACCGGACCGTTGTGTTTCTGTCCTATAGTAAGTACTTTTTGAACCATGTGACTCTCTAATTCCCTCCAAATGCTGACCTTGCACGTGAATAATCTTTAATGTATTAGCCGAGTTACATTAAAGACCACCATAGAAACTGCCGAGATAACCAATCAGGTATATGCACTTAACAAAAATCTGTCTTTTCAGCCAAAAACTGGAGCCTGATTAGTTATTTCAGCAGTTGCTAGGGTGGCCTTAAAAGTCCCTGTAGTTTTTACAGTTGTATGTTTAGTTCACCAAGTCAGCAGTACAATTCAGCCCTCCCAACCTCGGACGATAGAACACAAGGTTTCATGTTTATTGTTCTTAAATTTTTTGATAAATAGAGCCATCTGCACATATGCAACTTATTTTCATGTTGAAGACACCATAATTCATAAAAATGAAACAACCGACTCAATACACAGAAAATAAGATAACACACCGCAATTGATTTCACTCAACAGATAATTTTTTTCAGAAATGGAGGAAGGACCAATCAGAAACTCTTGAAGCGATCTGTTCAATAATGTTATCTGATAAGTCACCATTAAAATAACTTCTAAAATAAATAAAATAATGCGACCGATAATACTTATCTGAGATCCACATTTTTTTTCTATTTTTCGGCCGATGTAACTTTCAATCTTGCAGTCCGAAACCTCTTGATTCTTTTATTCTTAGTGGTAGCAGACATTTCGAAATATTTATATTTGTAAAATGGTAAATGATAGACCCTACTCAAATGAGTAATATACAGAAAAGCTCATCTTTCGCTAATCAGTTCGCACTTACTCATGCTCACTCACACTATAGAATGGAATATAGACGTAGTTCTAAAATCCAACGTAGCTAGGTGGGAGGGGAAACTGAATCCTTACTGATTGAATCGATACCAAATACATTCGGCAGGAACGATTCATCACACACTGCACATCTTTAGGAAATTCTTCTACCACTAGAAATGAATGAATAAAGAGCTCTTGAACTATGATAGTTTCTAGATTGTGTGATACTTTAGTCTGATTATGATGAATAAATTCTGCTCAAAATTAGTAGTGTACCAATCTACACTTACAACAAATGAACAATAGGATATGAAAGAAGTGAATCTGGCTCAAGAAAACACTACTCACCAGTACAATTCGTTTTGTTAACACTAGAGTATAAAGCTCCATTTGATACAAAAATATAACAACATGGTGTTTTTTCACGCTTTTAGTTTGTCATCGTTTGAAAAACTGACAAGACCTGAAATGGACTGGACAACACTTTGTGTACAATACCAGAATATAATATGGCAAACTTTATTGAACCCTCTTGGAGTTACAGCTGAAGAAAATCGTAAAGGTCTTGGCATCAATTTTATATCAAGTAAACCCGACTCGATAGCAATATGGCCGATATCAAAAACAAACCGTAGTTCGGAGTGGATACCGATACAAAATTTAATCTATGATTATTTTCCTTTAAAGCCTAGAGGTTTGAATGGGTGAGTACTGATATACTTTGGATATTTCCCTTTCTACTTTTCTACAGTTATATAAACACTTTGTTAACGGTATCAACTCTTTGGTTGCATATAGACTGTTTGAGAGGTTGTGACACGTTGTAAAACAGAACGCAAACTGAAGTTATCTCGAAGTGCTCCAAAAGATATATAGAAGGAGAACTATGATTGTAATGGGCATATTTCAAGAAGTCTCAAAAGCTAACCCAAACAGTTTGTCAACAGTTCAATTAAGTTCACTTGTACAATATTCAATACCTATAACTACAGTAACAAAGTTACAACATCATTGACTCAGTAGCAGTTTAAAGACAATCAGGTTACTTCCATATTAGATTTGTTTATTTGATATAAAAGCGCACAGTGATACAGTATTATTTACTTGATTACGTTTCGAGCATAAATTATTGCTCATAATCATATCAATGTGATATGATTATCATCACCTTAAACCATTAGGCCACAACTCCAAATTCCTTAGGGTCGACCACAGAACCATAGGACAGGAATAACCAATAGAAATGTTGTAACACTAGCCACCACCTTCGATGACTTGATTGGACACGTCACTGATTGGTTCATGTATGCGTAAAATGTGTCTGAGTAGTTCTGACTTCTTACACTTTTCGGTAACTGTCAAAAGCTTCAACTTGTGGATTGTGAACAACGAACCTGATAAGTAGATGAGCTGTATGAAATTCATTAAAGTATCTAAGCGCTTATTTAAAAGTTATACTTGGTGCTTTCTCCAACCAAATTCTTCTGCCTACATTTTTACCACCCCCACGTGCAGGTTGTAATTTACTGTTCGAAATAACTATTTTTGAATCCGTGGTTGAACTCGCATCTACCAGGACATTTCAAGGTGACTGTATGAAATGTTGAGGAATTTTAACATTTCTAAAGGGACGATGTAGCCAGATGGCTCTGAAAATAATTCCTCTTGGTGCCCACAAACTGTTGCAGCAAGTTATAAGCAGTCATTGGAATTTTTAGATGCATTCTGATTAACACGGACTCAGCCTATCACAAATACTAAACCCAAGTGAACTTCAGTAAACCTATTCTTCATGTTATCAGAGGAAATATACCATAAGGGAATCAATTAAGTTATTTGCCCTTTGATGAATTTCGTTTGGATTTTTAACCAATCCTTCAGTCACAAAATATATGACAATTGTGAGACAGGTGTCCAGCCTTACAACCAGTAGTGAGATCTGTTTGAATCTTAAGTAACCTTTGTTTTTATCCTTGATTAGTTAAATACTAGCTCTGTTATACCAACTGAAAAAAGAAAAATATTAATTCTGGACAAAAATGATTGGTCGCATTATTTTATACACATTAAAAGACATTCTACTTAAAACTTACTGGATAGTATTATTGTATATCTCAGCTAAAGGGCTTTATGTCGACCCCTTATCTATGAGTTTTTTTTATGTGTAAAGTCAGTCATTTCACCTTTGTGGATTATGGTACAATGTGAGCATCGATTCAGTTGTATATATGCACACACCTTTCATGAGATGTGCCCCGAACGAGTGAAACTGCAGTCTGGTGTTAGGATCACTCGAACCTAGCTAACAAAATCTACAGATCAGCGTCAGAGATGTTTCACTACTTATTTTTCAGCATTATATTCCGCTTTGTTGAAAGTTGTAATCACACTAAATTGCCAGATTTGTGTATCTTGCAGTTAGTAGTTCAAACAGGTAGTCTAAGTATAACACTTTATTCTCTGTCAAAACAACAACAATACAGCTACTTCGAGGTTATAGTCATTCCAAACTGTCATCATTTGGAGGACCATTGGAAACCTGGAAGCACTAGACAGCTATCTCGTTCTAGCACGGGACTCCTCTTCAGTGCGCACTCATGACCCTGCTAGAAGTAAAATTCAGTTGTCAGGTCTCACGGTGAGTACGTTTCCATTCAGGCACTGGTTCAGTATCCAGTGATCCACATTTGTTTACGTCTGTCATTCGTGATATAGCACAGCCATCATTTAATGCTATCGGCTGGTATTTATCTTCACAACCTATCTGATTGAGCCGACAGGTCACGGCTCTTCCTTCGATGTTCGGAAATTAGTTTCGAACAATGTCTCACGAGCATCAGGCTTTTGATGGTTTTCCAGCTGATATCAATCTATGAGGATTGATACTTACAAATCAATCAATTTCCACAAACCTACAAGTTAAAGAAAGTTACAACCTAATATCAGTTTTGTGGAGTGAATCTTTTGTGCATATAGAAAACAGCGTGATTTCAGAGAATGCTCGTAATAGATGCGTACCCAGTCTACCAATCTTTTGGATATTCATTCAGTTTAAATTGCAACGAAGCATTTTTAACTCGAATGCATTGAAAAAGCCACTTCACGTTTATCTTTTGACTGAATTGATTCATTTTAGTGTATCAAGTGATCAGCATTATGGATGCATTCTGTCAACTACTAATTGTGTTCATAACAGTCTTATTTTGCTAATGAACTATGTAACCGTATACTCTATTTCATTTCAACCATAATTTTCTAGTTTTTTAGACTGGATTTCAAGGAAAGCTCATTGTTGTAAAGTATGTTGATTGAAACACCTTAAAATATAGGTCACACTGTTTAATAGACTTCAAAGTTTGTCAAATGTACAAACATATACAACCCTTTTCCTTTCTATTCACCGAAAATTATGAATGCATCTTAACCATGGAAATAACCATGGTACAAAATAATACATAAACCGGCATTGAACTTCTCAAAAAGTGAGTCACTTCAAGTGGTCATATTTTTCAACGGGACAGATAAATGATAAATAAGTATGAAAAACAATGATGGAAGAAAAATGTCATGTGGTTGCAGAGTACAGTACAGTACAATGTGACCACTTCGTGATGACTTGGTCTTAGGTCACTAGCGATTTGTTCTGATTGGTTGTGGCTTGGGAAATCAAATCGTTTTAATCATTTAAATTCGAGTGTACTAATGAAGCCAGGAGTCTAACTTGATGTTTACATATCATATTCTGAGGTGTGAAGTATCCAATTGTGTTTAGAGTGAGGAAACTGAATGCTGTTTTCTGTGTATTTTTCACAAGGTGTTTATGATCACAATCTTGGGACCAGTTATAGTGTCAAGCAGACCCCATTTAAAGTTTTAATATTCTGCTTTTTCAAAGGAAATCATAGTGGAGTATCCTAATTCAGCCTCATTTTATTTTATAATTCCCTCCTTGAACTGTGTGGCCTGAAAACACCTCATTTTGTTTTATACTGCATGGTAATGAGTTATTCAAATTTCAGGGAGAAATGAAGAACTGAATGTATATGCATTAGTATAATGCAGCTTGAGGCGCGTAACCTTAGACCTTCAAACACTGACTTTCAGCACATTGAAAAAATGGGTCGGTTATCCTAAACTTCCATAAAAGGCTTAGACAGAGAGACTTCCTGGATTACTTCCATGTATTGATCTTTTATCGAACTAATGTTTATTTTCAAAAGGTAATATGAGCGTCGCAATGATTAAAAGCAACAGAGTGAATGAAAATTCCCAGTATATTACTTTACAAATTGATGCATACTACTCATTCACTACCCAGGTTTCAATTGCAATTATCATATGAGTTTTACAGTCACTGGTTCCAGTCATTTATTACGTTTTAGATATTGTTATCAGTTATTGGTTGGTCAAGATATCGAAATACAATATGCACGCTACGGTTCTATGAAACTGCCACAAAATCAAATTGTAGGAGCTAGAAGTAATTATATTTATGGCGATGTCTTTCTTATGGTAGGTTTATTGACTCTATAGCCATATTTCATTGATATAATAAGGAATGAGTGCGGTAAATTATTTGTTAAAGGATTATCTAAAGCATTTATTCTACTTTCTATCGTAATATAAAAACGAGAAGGTTTATTCGGAATCCCATTATTCTGATCACAGTAGGTAATCATGTGGACCAGAACTTATGGCCCAATAACTTTCTTCAACTCACAAAATTTACAGTGTCAAGAAGCACTTATTTCTGCTGAGCTGGGAATTTTTGGAAACTGGACCAACTAAATTTCAGTAAATACAACGTAGCTGAAGTTGACTATCGGGTATGCAAACTGAAGAAATGGGAAGTGTTATTTTTTGTTCGTGTGACTGAGTTTGAAGAGAATACTGATTTAACTTTGCAGAATCTGCGCAACAACCAAGTTACATGTTTTGGCTTTTAGTGCCTAACTGACAAAAGATATGAGAATTAGTCATTGCTCTTTATAAGCAACTAACAGGTTTTTTCTTGTATTTCTAGTTGTTATTCTCAAGGTAATAGTGTTTAATAGTTTACAAAATCGAAATACGTCATCTTGGTCAAAGAAAAGCAAATACCCCACTTTTTAAAGTCACATGACTTAGTGAAATGCTAATAAACAGGGTCATTTATTTATTTTGTAAGGTAAATGGGTAAGAATAATCTGTCTTTAAATGAACTTATCACTCCAGTGAAATAGTTCTTTGACAGTAGTTTGAAATTCTTTGTAGAGTGTTTGATTGTCAGACCAGAAGTTTACGTTATAATCATTGTCATGTTTCTGAATTACTCCTGTCAGCTTTTTACTCTGGGATCGTGGGAATTCATTTCTGCCCCAGAAGAGCATGGTAATGGAATGGATATAACTGAACACACTGAGAGTCACCAAAATGAATACAAAGTTATGAATACCTGTCAATATCGAAGCATCCGCATACGAGTGCATCTGCCAACAGAGGTCGAGCGATTAGACCCTGTACAGGAACGGAAAATTACTAGCACCAAAACAACAACAAATGATACCCATTGCACAAGTGGTGTCAGTGGCCTAGTGGACAACGCTTTGGCGTTTGAAGTGATGAGTACTGGCTTTGAGTCTCCGTGGGAACAATATCACTCACTGGAGTGCGGGGACATCCAGCTGACAAGTCTCAAATAGGATGAAACGCTCATCCTGGATTCCGATGCTAGTCAGCAAGATGAATACAATATAATTGAACACAGATGATAATCTCGATTGAGACTGTTGGTTGTTTCGATGTTTGAAAGCACTTCATGCTTTGAACTGATGCCATGCATGAATTTTATCGTTACATCCTTAGGGGTTGTACCTTAATCCGTTTGTAATTGTTATGGATTCGAGTTTTATCGGAGAAACTTAGATATACAAGTATGACGGAGAGATTTCTATAGGTCGTTCTAAAATACAGGGTTTTTAGTTAACTGATTCTTATCCTTGACTTATGCACAAAAACCAGTTTTCCTGTTCACAGCATTTTAAAATTGTAATTTTCTAGGAAGTGTTTTGTCCATAGTATTGACATAAAATTTTGTACCTTTTTCAGAAACCGAATGTAAATATCGAGATTACACAACGAGTCCGTTTTGTTGACGTGACACCGATGGCAGAAACGCGGGAAAAATTGCTTCCGTATTTCCTTTTGCGATTACCGAGTGACTTTTTCTACCCGTTTGCATGATCAGCATGTATTGTTGGGAGAAAGTAGTTTTTCAATAAAGTTTTATACAAGTATTAAAATGAATGATTCTCTTTGTATTTGTATAAAGTTTGAGAAACTGGCTGAAGTTACTAAATTTGATAATTAGATTCTTCTATTGACATGGATTTATTCCCATGGTGTACAAGAAAAGTTAGTAGGTGATAATGGGCAGATGTTGTGTCAAGCAAGTATAGTAGGTTTTACTCTCAAATCACTCACGAAGTAGTTTAGCTTACCGCTCTATGAATGAGGGACGTGCTACTGCTAGCATTTCATCACAACAGTTTAAATTAACTGGAGTTAAATAATTACAGGACAAGGTATTATTTGGTAATTGCATTGCATCAGTAAGAAATGGATTTATAAACTATTCAAAGACTTTTGTTTGATTCAGAAGATATCAGGCAAGTATTTTCGCTGAAATAAATAAAAATGACAAATTCAACCTTCGAATCGTGCAAAGTGGCTGATAAATAACAAAACCAGTGATTATAGAGGTCCCTAGCTTGAATCTTCTTGTTACCAAAATTTTATTTTTCAACTTCTTTAATGACCATTGCATAATGTGTTACTGTAGTCTATTTATTGGTTAGTAATGGAATCCAAGACGTGCGCTTCGTTCCATTTGAGACTGGCTCATCATCTGGATGTCACTGCATCCTACAGACTGCTGTTCCTTCTGGGACTCAAACCCAGTAACCATCGTTTCAAATGCCAAAGTGCTATCCACTGAGGCACAGGAGCCACGGATGTTAGTTGTAATTCCTCTCTGCTATACCGGGGTCAAACTGCTCAGCCTCTGTTTGGAGCGTACCCGGTTCGAGTCTCAATGGAAACAACACCACTCAGTGGGATCCAGGTACATCCAGTTGGCAAGTGCTAAACGAGACGAAACGCACGTCCTAGATTCCATCGCTAACCATCGAATAGACCACAATATAATGAATGTCCGGGTGGTATCCAAGCCTTCACAAAGGAGTCTATCTGCCAGCAGAGATCAAACAATTTCATACAGTATAGCAACGGGAAATTACAAGTATCAATGAACAATAAGTGTATTACTGTTAACATTTCCACTGCTTTTAGTGAAGTTGTATTTAACACCTAAAAAATAAAATATTTTGTATGGTTTGTAGCATCATTACAAACACTAAGTTTGACCCACATAAAGACCAAAAATGACCAATAGGGTGACACTGTATATCCAAGAATAGTAAAGAAGAACGTCCATAAAAATTGTTGGCTACCAGCAAATTCAAGTGAAATTTTAATACTTTTTAATGAAGTTAGTTATTCCGAGATAAAGAATAGTCAGTTAATTGTCTTATAGGTGTGCGGAGATGGTGTTGAACATGCTTACTAGCTAATAATATGATTAAAACCTGAGAAGATACTACATTAGAATATTTCAAATAACTAATAATGCTCATACAAAGATGATTTTAGTCATACTCATTGATTTATCAAGTTGCTATAGCATTTTGTATGGATTTCATTTCACCACAAATAATCAGTTGTCTAATTCATCAAATATTCGATAATCCTGTTAAACAATGATGGTATGAAAAGCAAGTTAGTCATCAATCAAGAAGATTATTTGGATTTCTGTATGTTGAAATGCAAAGATATCAAGTGGATGCTAAGAATTTTCTGTTGGTTGAAATGAACTGACTGACAGTTTACCCTATGGGAACCAACCTACTGACAGGATTCCGTAACCTGACTGATATTAAAATATGGAGCGAATAGTCAGAAAAAATGCTCATGGTTAAAGTCCGTAGAAAAGTTTACCTACATAGTAAGTGCTATATGATTAGAAGTTATTTCAAATGTAATTACCATTAAATCAGGATTACCAGAATATCACCAAGTGACGGATTGTTTAGCATTATATTAACCCTATCTGATATCATATTAGTGTTCTTTTAAAACGAGTTGCATCAAAGTCCTCTGTGAAATACTAAGGCTGACCAATCACCAAATAGGAAAACCCTGCAATATTGTACCAAAGTTCTTTTTGTAAATATCTAAATTGATAGAATGCTTTTTCGACCTGATAAATATGTCCTTTTGATTAGAATAAACAAACTTCTGTTTTCATAAATTATCTTTTGTTTTGCCGGTTTAGCTTGTTACCTCAGCAGGGAAATTGTTTTACGTGTAGGTAGACCTATAGTTAATAGTGGAGAATATTTGTAGCTCAGGTGGATGGTCTTGGTTGTATTGTGTTCTCTGAGCTGGGTTGTTTAATCGTGATTAAACAACTATTGAACAACCCAGCTCAGAGAACACAATGCAACCAAGATAGTTAATAGTGGTTTTACGCTTCACGTTATTGCCGAATAAATAAGCTGTTGACACTTGGTGATGATTGAAGGTGAAATAAAAATACCGAGAATGTATTTCGTCATTATGCTGCAAGGTTGGTTTATCGGCCTTTGTTTTTTATTGTGGATGGTTTTTGCGAACCTCCAATCTCATCTTTATAACTTCTTTAAATTAGTATTGTAATATGTATGTCACAACTGGTAATTAATTTTGCAGAACGATTACAACTAGTTATACATCTCACTGAGAAGTGTTTGGGGTACTTAATAATGGGTTCTGACAATGGTGAGTCAGTCATAAGATGAACGGTAGGTGAAATTAGTACTAAAGACTGTTTTTCTGCACCAATTACTGCTTCGCAACTCTCGCATCTACACGTGTGGCCTACAAGGGTGCAAGCCGAAAGACGTTATCACTACTCAAAAAGCCATTTAAGCTAGGAAACAAGTAGCATAACTTACGGTAAAATTACTGTTACTTCTCTATGGTAAAACAATCAATAGTAACTAATGGATGGAGAGAAAGCTTTCAAAAGCGCTTGCCAAAAATGATTGTTTCACAGCCAAATGTTGGAACAAAGCGACCTGAAGAACAGTACATGTGAGCCTTGATCGGCAATCGGATATCATTGCAATCCCATAAATAGTGTATGTTGACAAAAATCAATCTGGCCTTTTGTATCCATGTGGAGATTTTTTCTGTCATTGACTCACTAGAGTTGATCCGACATTCCAGGTTAATGAATTGGTCAACGCACTCAAACCTTTCACTCTTGTAAAACAAGGCACCATTGAAGACCACGCCATTAGCAACAATTTGAATTTGGGTGGTGAGAAACGCCTTGTAAACATTTTCAAGTTGTAGCTCAACGTATCGGAAGACTGCATCTTATCAGCGTCTTCAAGTGACAATATCATCTGTGTACTCTCTATCTACCAAAGACTTTCCCGCAATAAAATCAAGCCCCATGAAATCAGATTAGGGGTGGGAGACCTCCGCAAATGCACTCATGATAAAGTTGAATGAGAAGGGAGAAAGTGGTCACATTTGAGAGACAGAACTTGACATGTACAACTCATCTATTACCTTATCATGAGCTCTGATGCGCCCATGGGTGTTTGAATATAACACCTTCAACAGAATGATGTACCAACCTTAGTGATAGAGAATATCATAATATCGTCAGATTGATGGGATCGAATGCCACCACATCACGAAATTCAGGTAGTATCAGGCGTCGGTAAGTGTGTCTGTCTTCCAGAACCTGGTGGAGATTGAATATCTGATTGACTTAGCCACGTATAGTTTTGAAACCTTTCTTCGGGTTCGCTGTTCCCGAGGTTCACTCAGACGTCTGATAAACATAGGACTCGGGATCGTATATACTGTTTTGGTCAGACTGATTCGGTTACCACAAAAAGATTTTATTATTATTTGAAGACTTGGATAGTCATTGACTGGAACCAGTTAGAAAGAACCATATGTGATTCCGGAACACTATCTTACACTTCAGTTAGTCAAAACAATAATCCACGACTACTGTCTTTAAATACCTGTGGTACTGACCCAGCTGCCTTTCCTCTTTTCAGATCATTTACAGATTTCTGGACTTGTGTGAGTATTATTGGTCCCATCTCGATATTTTATACCAGATCTAACTGGATAGCAAGCAACGAAATAGTGGCTTGGAACTGGCTAATATACTCCTTAAAGTGTTCCGCCGATCGTTTCAGTCATCTCCCCTTGCAAGTAAATCGTAGCCCTATCCTCCTCAGCTATAATCTCACTCACTATAGATCTTTTCGGTTCAGTTTCCTTGATAAGACTAAATAATTGTCTGCTGTTACCTTTTACCACAGTCTTTTCCCTTACTTTAACATTCGCTACCAATCACTGTTCATCATATTGTGTAGACACTTTGAATTGCTTCCACTCCTCTTTGAGTTCGGAGTCTTCAGAGACGCGTTCGTGTGCTTTCATTAATTCAGAATAAGCTGCTGGACAATCTTAACCAATCTCCAAGTCAACTAGGCTTCTAATGCTGTTCATACAGCATACTGGAGATAGGGCCAAGCTACTTTCGGATGAGTGACATCGTTCTGTACTGATAACTGTCCACTAAGTTTCTTACTAAAAGCATCCTTAACATATAATTATGGCTCAGCAATGCTCTCAGTGGTCGTGTTACATTAGTTTCGCAGAATCCATTAAGTTCAGGCAAACGCGTCCTCGAGCCAACGCATGATCACTGACTAAGCACGTACTCCAGAAACAGCTGCTATCTTTCAATGGCCATCTACAACTGGTTGCAACATAGTGTGTGTCCAGTGTTGAGTTAAGGTTGGTGGATACCATATCTAATAATGTCTGTCTTTATGTTTGTAGCTCGCTAACCGGTAAAGGATGGCCATCTAAGCACACTTCTGTCTGGTAATAGCCACTATCTGTTCGTTTAGCTGGAAATACAAAAATGTCATCTGAATGCCCTGCCTACTTACTCACTTAAATCACCTGCCACAACAATCATGTCTGAACTTTTATCTTTCAGTAGGAGAATAGGCAGTTTTAGTAGTTATCCTTCAATTCATGTGAACTGCAGCAATTGGATGTGTATTTTGGAGATTAGAGCGAGACAGCGGCGAGTTTCACTA